ATATGAATATTATTATTATTATATGAATACTATTTATTGTTGAGAACAGGTATTCTGTACTAACTGCATGACTGTTATCAACTTTAGCTGTACTAACTGTATCTCTTGTTAAGCATTCTGAGTCATTAATAAGGAGGCACGTAGACCAGTTGCAACAATTCTGTAGTAAGAATTTTTAAGTTGTCTCTTCAAAGAAGCACTCTAAGCAACATTCTTGTGATGCTTACATTCAGAGCTTTGGAGTTGCCAAAGTTTCTCAGTTTTAGAACTATACAGTGTAGTAAATATTGTAAATTCATCCCCATTACAGGCTGAAAAATGCTTCTCCAGAAGATGTGGAATATTACAACTGCCAGCAGGAGCTTACAGATGATCTACATAAACAATATCAGATAGTGGAAAGAATAATTGGTAAGTTGTAAACCTGTGGATAGAAAGCAGTGCTGAGAATTCTGCATGCTCGCTGTTTACCTGTTCATTTGTAGTTACGAAATTTAGATTATGAACATTGCTAACTTTTTAATCCAAAGCAAAACTGCAAAGGGAAAAGTTGTCATGCTGTCTGTGCTATGAAGCTAGCTTATGTTGTCTTATTAATTAAGATGAGTGTTTTCATGAGATACAGAAGTAAAATGGTGATCAGATACCTCTTGTACATTTCTGCAGCTCATTCAAATCAGAAATCGGCGGCTGGTTATCCAGACTACTATTGTAAATGGCAAGGTTTGCCTTATTCAGAATGTAGCTGGGAAGATGGTGCTCTCATTGCCAAAAAGTTTCAGGCACGCATTGATGAGTACTTTAGCAGAAATCAGTCCAAGACCACTCCCTTTAAGGACTGCAAGGTGAGTACATGATTTGCAGTGGATTTATAAGCAGTTTTACTAGGTCTGGCTGGGACAGAGTTAATTTTCTTCATAGCAGCCTGTATGGGCTGTTCTTTGTATTTGTGACCTGAACAGTGTTTTGACTAGTGCTGAACAGTGCTTGCACAGCATCAAGGCCTTCTCTGTTTCTTGCTTTGCCCTCCTCACCATGCCGGGGGTGGGCAAGGGGCTGGGAGGAAACATAGCCAGTACAGATGACAGCAACTGACCAACTTGATATTGCATGCTATTTAATGTTGCACTTGGCTATAAAACTGGGTGGGCTGAGCAGGGTGTGTGAAAGTGGCTGTTGTTTGGAGACTTGCTGCTCATAAGTCTGCTGGTGAGTTCATTTGTGGGATTTTTTCAGTTGCGGGTTTTTGGTTTGGTTGGTTGGTTTTTTTTTGCTTCACCCATTAAACTCTTTATTTTGACCCACAAGTTTTGCTCACTTTCACCCTTTCAGTTCTCTCCCATGTCCTGCTGGGGTGGGTAGTGAGTAAGCAGCTAGTAGTGAGTAAGGTGGTGGCTTAGCTGCTGGCCAGGTTCAAGACACCATATCAGTTGTGACAGAAAAAAATGTGGAAAATCTTCTATGAATCTAGCGGTAAGATAAATATTGTGAAATATTTTTTTAAAATTCAGAGTTAATTCATTTTAAAATGACAGAGTAGTCATAAAGATGTGTAGCAATTTATATGGAAAATATCACTACTAAGAGTAGCTTTTTTGTATTTCCCAGTTTCCTGTGTTTTTACTGGCATTCAGAGACGGGCCTGTTTATTATTGTAGTTTATTCTAAAAGTAGACTTTGAGTGAGATTATGTCACTCCTGTTGTGAAATGTAGATCAGCAATCAAACTGATTCCAACTTCCAAATTCCTTGGTGGCATTATACAGCCTAGTTTTCATCGATGGATAAAGTCTAGACTTGGTGACCCAGTACTGCTGTTTGTTCCGTAAGAAGACATTTACGTCACTTCAGTCAGTAGTACAACTGATGATCAATTTGCTTTTGACAGGTTCTAAAACAGAGGCCAAGGTTTGTTGCATTAAAGAAACAACCATCTTACATTGGAGGACATGAAGGGTTAGAGTTACGAGATTATCAGTTAAATGGATTGAATTGGCTTGCTCACTCATGGTGCAAGTAAGTGTAGTCTGAAAAGTTTTCCTCTGTGTAAATTGTAAGCATTTGTAAAACTTCAAAATTTTTTTTTCTGTATTTTTTATTCATGATGATGGGTTCCACACAGTAAACTCAAAGTAGAGGTCTGAAGGGAGTGGTTTTGCTCTGAGGAGTAACAAAGCTTATAATTCCATGGCTATTCTCAAAAAACAGATAAGCTTTATTGTTGCTTTGCTTTTAATTTCCTAGGGGAGTAAGTCATAGTTTTTAAAAAACAAACCTGAAAGAGTTAAAACCAGAAAACCCAAACTCTTCTGAAATGTGAACATTAGTGTTTTACTTTTAAAATTAGAGTAGTGAGGAATGCTTGCAAGCTTTTTGTTAATTTAATTCAAGCACCAAGTGTGGGGTGGTGGAAATTTGTTTTATGGAAGAACAATAGAAATAAACTTCCAGATGTATAGTTGCAACATATCTTAAAGTTGCAAAATCTTGAAAAGTTGTATGAGTAGCTTTTATGCTCAGAAGATAATTTCTTCTCCAATCTCTCCCCTATTTTTTTTTTTTAAGAGGAAATAGCTGTATTCTTGCGGATGAAATGGGTCTCGGTAAAACAATACAAACAATTTCTTTTCTGAACTACTTGTTTCATGAACATCAATTGTATGGGCCTTTCTTGCTGGTTGTGCCACTTTCCACCTTGACATCTTGGCAAAGAGAGATACAGACTTGGGCTCCTCAGATGAATGCTGTGGTTTACTTAGGGGATATAACTAGCAGAAATATGGTGAGTATTTCTCTTTATCGCTGGAAAAACTTGTAGATAAACAAGCTCTCTTCATATTCCTATCTTCTGCTAATCTCTGGTATTTTGGTTAGGACAGAGCAAATACTTAGTGAAACACTAGTTATTCAAGATACAAATTGAAAGCTTAGATTTTGATTTTATGTAAATGTGTGTGAAAGACTTACTGCTGAATATTGAACAGGATTAAAAATTTAGTATTGCATTTGAAAAATAAATATCTTCTGCCATATGATGATTTAGGTGGATATAATTAAAATAAATATGTAAGCAAACCAGTCATGATCTTAATTTATTCCCTGAAAGGACGGTGGTTTGTTTTGTTAACGTGTTTTCTGAACGTTAATAATCTTATCCATTAAGTTTTTTATAGAAATTCTTTGCTATTTATACAGAAGCTTGAACAAAATATTTTTGGAGTGCTTAGACAAGTTTAAATGTTAATATGTTGTGCTTCTGGTTTGTGATCATATTGTTATGTCATTAAACATTCACATTGCTGCGACACGTAGATTCATGCCACTCAACAAGACCCTGTTTCTCTTGATTCTTTTTGCAGATAAGAACTCATGAATGGATGCACCCGCAGACCAAACGATTAAAATTTAACATTCTTCTAACAACATATGAAATTTTGCTGAAGGATAAGGTAGCCATTCTTCTTCTGGGAGATAAAAAAATGATCTCCAGTATAGAGCTCTAAATATTAGAGTTGCATGTGTTTGGTTTGTGGGCCATTAAGTTTAGGAAAAGTGTGATAGCGTTTGCTTTTGAAGGTAGTGACAATGCATGCTTTGCGTGGGTTTTGTTTTGTTTTTTTTTTCTTTTGTGGGTGGGTTTACTGGGATTTCTTAAGCACTTTTAGATTTTCTGTATACGTGGTGATGTTTTCAGCTTTTTAAATTTCTTTAAGTGGGTAACACCTTTTCCAGTTTGCTTGGGATTCTTATTGCCATAATAATCTCCTCCTGTCCTCAAGAGTGACCATCAGGAACTGAAGAAGAACCCAGCCTGTAGCCTCAAACATGATGCAGGCTTCTGAAATACAATAGTTTTTTGGTGTCATTATGCCAACAGTAGTATGTGTGCATGTATTAATACTGTCTCCATAGTGGTAGCACACAGCGTTATTGCTAATCCTTCTAACAATATTTTTAAGATGGTCAAGAAGCAAAATATTTTTACCGTATTTATTTATACATGCTGGGAAGAAAAGGTCAACAGTGATATTCCTGTCATGTAAAAATTAATGGCTGTCAAACTTTTGGCCGTTTGTTTTTCACTTTAAACTTAATTTATACTCTCTTGGGATGCTTGAACAGCTTTTCATTAAATCCAGCAAATGCAAAAGCCATAATTAGTAGTAAAACCATACTGCTGTCCATGTTCTATTAAAATAAGAAAAGAAGTGGTGGTGTTTATAGCTGTTTTTATCTCCTCCGTTTCTTTAAGTCATTCCTTGGTGGTCTGAATTGGGCATTCATAGGAGTTGATGAAGCTCATCGTTTAAAAAATGACGACTCTCTTCTGTACAAGACTTTAATAGACTTCAAGTCTAACCACCGTCTTCTTATTACTGGAACCCCTCTGCAAAACTCCCTCAAAGAGCTTTGGTCCCTGTTGCACTTCATCATGCCAGAAAAGTAAGGAAGATTTTTACGTTATTCTTTTTAACTTTTTTTTGTGTTAATTTTGTAATTGTGACATAATGTAGTGATTTAAGAATCAATACAGGCAGAGAATCATACTGACAATTTAAATACTTTGCATAAAGTAGATGCAGATATTTTTCATGATGCTTCTGATAAGTAACTGTGGGAGCAATTGCCACCTTTTTCCATTTTAGCAGTCCACAAAAATAATGGATTCATGTACTGGGTAGAACCTGGAAAAAAGGCCTAAGAGGAAAATTGTAGGGATTTATTCTCATGAAATAGAATGGGATCTTTTCTGTGTTTGTACTATTAATGAAGACAAATTTGTACCAAGGTGCCAAATAACCTGTAGTTTAGTCAGATAGCTGCTTTTCCCATACGGTTTGCATGCAGTAGGCTTATTGTATTGACCTTATTTTGTACTGACCTCAGTTTATAGCCAAGATAAATTAGATCTTGTGTGAGAACATGATCCTGTCAGACTTCTTGTAAATACCGAGCACCATAGCTGCATCTGCTTTGAGCTATGGATTGTACTCACTTCTTCAGAATGTTACAAGCAAAGCCACCAGGGTATAGTACCCATTCCTCATTTGATCATGAAGTCCGTTATCCTAGTCTGTTAGCACAGATAGATAGCTCCAGTTAAGCCATACAAGCTGCAAAATGTACATTAAGTGGTGTCTTGTTCTCTTGCACACCCTCCAGCCATGCAGCTGGTTTTGCATGCTGCTAATGATAAATGTAATAATGGCATTTTTGCAAACATCCAGGTATTGTTTTCCTTGCAGAAAAAGAAAAATGTTGACTTTCCACTGGGAAAGTTAAAATTCAGTAATTTTCGTTCTGTAAACAGTTTTTTTAAAAAATCCACTCTTCTATTTACTGACAGAGGAATTGCTTGTGAGATGAAAATTCAGAAACTGGATAAATTAAACAGAAGGGAGTGGGGAAGAGATCCAGATGTGTGTAGATTCTTGTGGTATATTTATACACATTCCATGGTTTTGTTGTCTGTCTTGAATTCTGCTTTTGTAGGTCATTCACAGTACATTTCTATTTTGCACTTATTCTTTATTACGTTGAAGGTTTTCCTCCTGGGAAGATTTTGAAGAGGAGCATGGCAAAGGGAGAGAGTATGGTTATGCAAGTCTTCACAAAGAACTTGAACCATTTCTGCTGAGAAGAGTTAAAAAAGATGTAGAAAAGTCTTTACCTGCTAAGGTTGAACAAATTTTGAGGATGGAAATGAGTGCATTGCAGAAGCAATATTACAAGTAAGTTAAAACACTTTTAAATTTGTGTTGTTTAGTGATATGTTTACATGCAATTTACTGAAGTATAATGTTTTTTATAGTGGATTTCTAGAGTTTTTCTTGAGGTTGCTTGAGATTTCTAGGGTTTCACAGCAATAAAATTCTATGAAGGAAAGACTTGAGAATTACACTGGTCAAAGGTCTATTCATTAGCTTCTTTTTTCTGGATGTTTGTAAATTCTTTTGGGAGCTGCTTTTTCTTTCTTTAACTTGTTTATATTTTGAGAGCTTACAACTGCTTTGCTTCCGTATACAGTTAACATGCTACATCTTATATCACAGGTGGATTTTAACCAGGAATTATAAAGCCCTCAGTAAAGGTTCAAAAGGCAGTACCTCAGGCTTTTTGAACATCATGATGGAACTCAAGAAATGTTGTAACCATTGCTACCTCATTAAACCACCAGATGATAATGAATTCTATAATAAGCAGGAAGCCTTACAGGTAATGTCACTTTTTAATTTAACAACTAAAATCAGAGTAAAGTTCCATGTTCAATTAATGCTTCATACCAATAATTTTATGTAGCATTTTTTTCTTATGGTTACATGAATTTGGGTTGCGTTTTTTTTGTTTGGTTGGGGTTTTTTTAGTTCTAGGAGACTATATATTGTATGCACATTTTAAACTATGAAATTCTTAGGGCATGTCAAAATTTGCCTCATTTTTTTTCCTCCCACAGCAGCATAAAGAAAAGCAAACCTTAAATGAAAGCCTAACCAGCTATAGTGTGTATTAGTGTTGAGATGAACTTAGTTTGTAATATTTATTTCTTGGGTTTTGTAGTATTTAATACGTAGCAGCGGAAAACTAATCCTTCTTGACAAGCTACTGATCCGTCTGCGAGAACGTGGCAACAGAGTTCTGATTTTCTCACAGATGGTGAGGATGCTGGACATCCTAGCAGAGTATCTGAAGTATCGTCAGTTTCCCTTTCAGGTAAGAATCTCCATGGTGGTGGCTGAGAAGCTTTCATCCTGAATATAGGACTAATCTCTTCTTTACTCTGAGGGTGACAGCACTGGAGCAAGTTGTCCATAGGTTATGAAATCTCTATCTTCTGAGATACTCAAAATACATGGACATGAGCTTGAGAAACTTGCTTTAGCTGTGCCTGTCTTAGTAGGGGAGTTAGAGTAGGTGACCTCCAGAGGTCTGTTCCAACTTTGTGGTTTGTGATTGTGTGTTCTTTGCCACTTTGCTTAAGCAAGCAGAAAAACTGGCAATTGTTATACACTAAAGAGTATTTTTAAATGAAAGTAGTTAAAAAAGTGCGTGACGTGTTGCGTTACTCGTTTTTTCCTTCACATAACGTTTTTGGCAGTTGAGAGTTTGGCTTGCTTGGAATGTAAATGTCGTATGAGAATTACTTTTTAATTGCAGTATTTGATCTCTTTAGAGACTTGATGGATCAATAAAAGGGGAATTGAGGAAACAAGCACTGGATCATTTTAATGCAGAAGGATCTGAGGTATGGTTTTTTTTTTTCCCTGAGGAATATTTTTTTTTTTCCCAAGAAATTGAAAAAAACTGCACAAAAAATGAAGGCTGAGAAAATTGAGGAATATATCAATAGTATTGAATCCGTTGTGTAGCTATAATATTTTTTTTTAAAGCACTTTATCAGTCATTTTAATTACTGTGTAGCTGCTGCAGAAATTTAATTTCAGCTTCATTGCTGTGTAGAACCTAACAATGTTTACAAGAATATTGAATTTACACAAGCAGTTGGCATCAAAAACACCCTTTGGCAATTGACAGAAGTGACTTGTGTATTTCCTTCCATGAACCACGGTCTTTAATTATTCCAAATCTGCCTTCAGTTGTCTTTAATTGTTGCAACTTGCCTGCAAGAAATAGCAAAGGTCTGACTTGGAGCCATTCTTTGTGATCAACCTGTGAATATATAGGTGCCTCGTACAGATTCTTTCTTTTCTGAGTTGGAAAATTTGTAGCTTATTTAGTATATGCAAGCTATGCCACACCTTTGATCAGCTTAAATCTTTTCTCCTATCCTGGCAGATTTTGGAGACAGAAGATTGTTTTGATTGTTTGGTGTTTTTAAAAAAGTAATTGAAGCATAGCATATGTCAGTTGCTGCTGAGCTTATTTCTGCTACCATAGAGGGAGAAGGACTTAACTCCATAATATCAGATACTTGTTAAATACAGAAGTTAATTGTTTCAAATTTCTAGTATATACATTGTTGCCGTTTTGAGAAATCTTTGCAGTTACACTGTACCTTGGCATGAAGAGGAATTTAAAGTTCATGCATTTCAGAAATGGAGGCGAACTATGCATTTGTGCAGCAACAAATTACGTTCTCAGTTTTACTTTTTTTCTTCCTTTCCTAAAAATTCAGAACATTTGGCTATTACTGAGCTAAGAGCTACATGGAAATTTCTAACACAGTTCTCTGGACTCATTCCTGACTGTAATGGCTCACTATTTCCTTTAACTGTACTGAAAATCTGGATTATTTTTTTTAATCTGTTTTACTTTATCTTGAATTTCGTATGCTGCTTTATTATATGTCCCAGGATCCTTCTACAGTCCTTCATGGTTGTCTCTGAACAAATAATTCTATATCATCTACAGGCTTTTTTCCCTTGGATGCTAATCCCATTTTCATATTGCTCACAGCACTGAACCTGGCAGAAGACTTTCACTTCCTGTCTCTTACCTAGTTACCTGAAGGCTCAAGTGTCTTCTCTGCTCTGGCATGGCTAATTAGTCTTCCAGGGCTTAGGGCAGAGGGTGTGGGAGAAGGACTTGTAACCTATGAGGATTTAAATAATAGGACTTTTGGGCCAGTCTTTTGTTTAGTTGGGATTTTTTGGTCAGTGATCATCATCTAGGATGTTCCTTCCTTTTAAGCCTTGAGGAGTCAGTAACTATGTATGAAAGAAATATACATGAATGTTTGTTTTATACTACTAGAAGAAACTAACTATAGAATAGTTAGTTAGTAACTATAGAATAATAGGAATTGGTAGTATTATGATTTTATAGTCTGTGCCACAGACTATGTAAAAAAGTGTCATGTTGGTTCCTTTAAGAATATGACAACTATTGTTTATAAAAAACTCTTATTTTGTTATTTCAGGACTTCTGCTTTTTACTGTCTACCAGAGCTGGAGGATTAGGTATCAATTTGGCATCTGCTGACACTGTAGTTATATTTGATTCTGACTGGAATCCACAGAATGATCTGCAAGCACAGGCTAGAGCCCATAGAATTGGACAGAAGAAACAGGTACTCACAGAATCACTGTGGTTGGAAAGGGCCTCTAGGAACAAGTCCAGCCTTCACCACAACATTGCCCTAACCACTGGACCAATAGCCTCAAGTGCTACATCTGCTCATTTTTTAAACACCTCCATTGCCTAACCACTATCTCAGTGAAGAAATTTTTCCTAATATCCAATTGAAGCTTCCCCTGGCAAAGCTTGGGGCCATTTCCTCTCGTTCTATCATTAGTAATCTGGGAGAAGAGAGTAACACCAGCCTCACTACAACCTCCTTTTAGGTAGTTGTAGAGAACAGTAAGGTCTCCTCTCAGTTTCCTCCAGACTCAACCACCCCAGTTCCCTCAGCCAGTCTTCATAAGGCATGGTTTCCAGCCCTCTCACCAGACAATTTGTGTATCCAGCTTTAAGCTCCAAACCTGAAGGAGGGTTCTGTACCATAGGTGTCCACTCTGTCTGCACCATTCAGTCTTCATGTATTTTTAACAGTAACTAAACTTGCTGTGTATGTCCAAAAATGTAGTAATGCTCATTTAAATTTCTGTTTTTTTAAATCTCCCCATAGGGAGGGCTGATATGACAGATGTGGTATATGGGTGGGACAGGGAGAAGTGTTGTGGTCATGTCTGTCCCAAATTCACTGACATCACGTCACTTCAGAAAATAACTGCTATATCAGGCACATCACCTTTGCTTAAGTATTTCTTAGTTCTCTTCAGGTTTCTGTCTTGCAGAAGACATACAGTAATAATTGGGAAAGTGACAGTTTTGCTGGTAGCAGTGCTTGTGCCAAATAACTGAAGTTTAAAAAAGACAGGACTAAGAGTTTATTCTCTTTTTAAAGAGTGCTTATGTAAAGACTGAGGGAGCATGATTGAACTAGTATTTTGTATTTTAAATCAGTCAATAAATTAAGAGGATATGTAGTGAAGACTGAGATTTCTCCTTATTGTTGGCTACTTTTATTTTAAAATATACACAGGTTAATATTTATCGGCTAGTTACAAAAGGATCAGTAGAAGAAGATATTCTTGAAAGAGCCAAGAAGAAGATGGTGTTAGATCATTTGGTAATTCAGAGAATGGATACTACAGGGAAAACTGTACTGCATACAGGCTCTACTCCTTCAAGGTATATCTGTATTTATTTCCATAACAGCTTAACCTTTGTATATTTGCCAGTTAAGTAAAATGTAAGTTATTTAATTTGGTTAATGAATGGCAAATTAACGTTAAGTAAGTAAACGTGTAAAGTATATTGTCTTTATAGATTTTAATTTGCATATTAAATACATGTTTCAAATACCTATATCTATGGTTTTTATTTAACAGTAAAATGAAAGCTTAATTGATGCATGATTATAAAGAACTTTTTCAGGTTAGTAAAGTAAAATGTTTTTCCTGAAAAATCCTTTATTTTAGCTCAACACCATTTAATAAGGAGGAGTTGTCAGCAATTTTGAAGTTTGGTGCTGAGGAACTTTTTAAAGAACCTGAAGGGGAAGAACAGGAGCCCCAGGTAAACAGTGTTTCTGAACGAGATAGATAAAACAATTGACAATACGTATGAATTATTTTATTGTAAAGGGAAACTTCTTCTTCTTCTTTAGGAAATGGATATAGATGAAATCTTGAAGAGGGCTGAAACTCGGGAAAATGAGCCAGGTCCATTAACTGTAGGAGATGAGTTGCTTTCACAGTTCAAGGTAGTGCTATTTTCCCTCCCTCCTGCCATAGTTACACTTTCATTTATAAATGTACCATTTTTCTGTTATGTACCTATCCATTTCTTCATATTTATGAAGTAGAGTAATTATATATAATAAAATGTCTTTTCACCTATACAGGATGCCTGCAATCATGATAAACTTTCACAAATACATGATGTATTTTGCTAATAAAATAAGAGATATTTATGAATGTGTAGCAATTAAAATTCTAGGTGGTTTTGTGGTTTATTTACTGCCTTAGTTGTTAAGCAGCTATGGTATTGTTGAATGCAAAATATAAAACTTGCATTTCTTAGTTACTACTGGAAATAAATTTTAACCCTGAAGTAAACTTGAATGCCAAATATTTTAAGTGTTATCAGTTAAACATATTATAGTCTAAGTGGGAAAAAAAAAGTTGAGCATGACATATTTTAGATCAGTGGCTTATTAAATAACACCTGCTGATCATTAGTTTGTAACATATTTTGATTTCTACAGTATTAATGTTTGGTTAGTTTTATATTATTTTAGTTTCCCATTAACTCAGGCATTCAAAGTTATTAGCTCCATTTTGAAGGAAGTTAAACAACAATCATACAGCTATCAGGGAGGTGTTTTGTTATTATATGTCTGTGTTGGGCAGCTTTTAAAAGGAGAGAGAATCTCATCTTCTCTCAGCCTGTGTTGTGTGAAGTTTGTGTCTCTTTCATAGGCGAATAAAAATATTTTCATTGGAGACAGTGTTTCATGGAGCATTTTTAATGTAGAAATTTTACATGTATTATAAAACAATAGCATATATAGAATATATAAATGCATAAAATATGCCATCTTGAACTTTGTTTTCTTAAAATATTAGTTGCTAAGTCAATTTCAAATAAACATATGTATTGATTTGATGAAAATATATATATTTTGATATACAAGGTGGCCAACTTTTCCAATATGGATGAAGATGATATTGAGTTGGAACCAGAAAGAAATTCAAGAAATTGGGAAGAAATCATTCCAGAAGTCCAGCGGCGAAGAATAGAAGAGGAGGAAAGACAAAAAGAACTTGAAGAAATATACATGCTCCCAAGGATGAGAAACTGTGCAAAACAGGTGTCTCTTGGTTCTGTCTGACTTGTACTTCTATGTTGCTCTTTGTTTAGTTTGATTATTGGGAGTGGTTGTTGCAGTTATGTTGTGTTTTTTTTCCCTTCCTTTTCTAAACGTGTTTTTGACAGATTAGGTAAAACTTTACCTATGTTTGTTAATCATGTAGCTTTGAACTGCTTATTGTGAAATTCCAGATCAGCTTTAACGGAAGCGAAGGGAGGCGCAGTAGGAGCAGAAGATACTCTGGATCTGATAGTGACTCCATCTCAGAAAGAAAACGGCCAAAAAAACGTGGAAGACCACGAACTATTCCTCGAGAAAATATTAAAGGATTTAGTGATGCAGAGATCAGGCGGTAAGATATGGGAGGGACACACACACTAAAGAGGCAAGACATCTTAAAAATTATAATTAGTGTAGAATTTGAAAGTACAGAAGGTGTTCTGTTTGTCCTGAATTTCTTTGACGATGTTTTTATTCTAGGCATTAAATGGTTTACCTTGTGTACTTTTCTGGTACTGACTTGGTGAACCATCATGGCAAGAATTTGAACCCATCTTGATGAGGGATCAGATTAGGTTTTAAAAGTATTCTTGGTTGTTCTAAACTTGTTTGTTCCTGCAACCCATGAAGACATTCATTTCAAAAACCAGTTCCTATAATGGGTGAGCTTTTCTTTTAATATGTAAGCAAAATAATCTGCTTCCCAGCATTTTATATAAAAACTGCAGTGCTGAAGGAGTATGTAAATATTTTTGATAACAACTACAAAAATTTGAGTAGATTTTATTTTATTTTTAAGCTTCTTGGCACTAATAGCATTAATGTTATATCATGCTTTTTTAAACTAAAAAAATATAAAATCCTATTTGAATCTTGTACAGCAGGTCCTTTCAATATTTGGTGCTAAAATATTTTATTGGTATGAGGAGATGTTTTGTTTTCCCTTTTTGGGTTTGTGAAAATGCTACTTTGCTTTTGAAATTTAATTATGTGTTTTTGTCTTGAATGCTGTAAAGCTCTCAAAGTATTTTTGGTTAGAGAAATACATTTTAAAGGTCTCTTTTGCCTTTCCATTTAATCTAACAACATAGCAAATTGCCACTTTTTTCAAGGTTATTCTTGTGCTTGCAGTAGTATTTTGAGGCCTTGATTGTTGAGGAAATTTTATTTCTTGGGTTTTTAACTATTTTTATTTATTTTTTATTTATCTAATTTCCTTTCTTTCCCAGGTAGCTCTAGTTTCTCTCCAGCTGTTCCTACAGAGTATATTTCATGTCATATTTGCTCCTTTAACTGTGTAAGGCATTACAAGATATCTAAAAATCTCAATTCACTGTGAATCCACATGAAGTTTTTCTAATAAGGCACATCCAGCAGCTGAATCTTCTGTGTTGTGAAATTAATAAAGCAATTTCTAAAATAAATTCTACCTCTATTGTTTTATTTACATATGTTCTGAAACAAAGATAACTGACATATTTTGGGTTATGTGGATATGCTAGGCTGTCCTACTCTCTTTTTGTTTTGCTTTTTCCCCCGTTGTCTGTATAATATTGTATTGATATAATTATTAATCTTAGTACCTAAATGGCAAAATTATTTTCTGTTGCTAGGTTTATCAAGAGTTACAAGAAATTTGGTGGCCCTCTTGAAAGGTAAATTTGTGAGTATTATTTGTGTAGCAACTTGGAACCTCGTTCTCATAAAAATTAGAAAAATACATAAAGAAACCTTAGGCTAAAGAGAAAATACAGTGTCTAGTCTTTTGCTTTGAATATAACATGACTTTAACTTCATATCTTCCCCCTTTTCGTGTATGAAACGCCTGCCAACAGCCACAAAACGTCTCCATTTTCAAGTCTTATTTAATTCCTTTCGTTATACTTGATCTTCTGTCTTGTTTAGTGTACACTGGTAATAGTCATTCAGTTATCTTGTTTGATGACCTGTTGAAAGCCTATCAATTTATCCACTGTGACTATGAAAGCTCTTTTGCGTTTTACTTGTTGTCAGTCCTTATTTTTAAGCTTTTCTTGTTATTCTCTATTTTAAGAAAAGCTTCACATCCTGATTTTCCTTAAAAATATTTGTAGTCCATATGAACATATTCATATGAGTATATAATTACTGTTTTTTAAATAAATACACCGTAATTTAACTCAACACTATAGGGTTAGGGCACTTTACAGTTCTTCTTGTATTGACGTCTAAGACTGGAATGACTGACTTTTTTTTTTTTTTTTAAATCAAATTGTGCACTGAGTAGCAAGTGCTGGTGACTGGTAGCTGATCATTCCTCTGGTTTCAGACTCCGAAGGAGTCATTCACAATTACTAAGGTTTCAGAGTTATTAAAGTGTGTGTTTGTTTTATTGCAGGTTAGATGCTGTGGCTAGAGATGCTGAGCTAGTTGATAAATCAGAGACAGACCTTAGACGTTTGGGAGAGCTTGTACATAATGGATGCATTAAAGCTTTAAAGGACAGTTCATCTGGACAAGAAAGAGCAGGTACAATGTGTTCAAGGGGCTTGGGTGGCAATCAAACATGTCAAAGGCTCTGAATCATGTTCTTGGTTTCTCATTATAACAGGAAACATGGGGAAGTATAAACAAAAATGTTGGCATGCAGGATGGTGATAAGAAGGGATCTTACAATAAGATGACTTCTGGTTCTTTTCCCTTTCTGTGTGTGAGCTGTCATTAGAAGATGCAGTATAGTTTTACTTTACCGTAAAATTTAAAAGTAATCTGTTATCTGGAAAACCTTGATTTTGGAGCTTTATTCAAGCGTTTGGTTAAGAAAGGTCATTTGGTATAATTGAAAATTTGTTGCATCAATCTTACTTGTTTCTTTAATTTTTTTTCTGGATGACATTCATAAAGATAAATATTTTAATAGCTTTGTGATTCATTTTAAGGAGGTAGACTTGGGAAAGTTAAAGGCCCAACATTCCGAATCTCAGGAGTGCAGGTGAATGCAAAGCTAGTCATCTCTCATGAAGAAGAGCTGGCACCACTGCACAAATCTATTCCTTCAGATCCAGAAGAAAGAAAAAGGTATTGATTTTTTTTTTTCAAAGGAAGTAGTAATGTAGAAAATCTTTCAAGTTTTATTAACTATTTTCAGACTACCTTGACTCAGAAGGCATTGTGTCAGCATTCCATCTATTCCCTGTTAAGGAGTGGGAGCAGTAGCCTGCTCCACATCTGTGTGTTATTTCTTTCCATGCCCTAGAAGCTAGTACAAGCTTTGGCTTCTCAATTGTATTCACTGAAGACTGTTCAGTTTACTAATATTAATGAGGGCTACAATTCAGGCTTGCTGAGGAGCTGCTGTATGTGTCATGTCTTCTTGAGGGGAAAGCAGTATCTGCCAAAGCATAGCAGTCTGAACTTTTTCACCTTGCCACCTTGTGTATCACAATCCCTAAACTATCCATTTAGTTAGCAGTCACACTTGGATGGTGTTGTATGCTTTTATTTGCGGTTATATATTTGAGGCAACTCTGATGCAGCTCATGGCCAAAGACAGATGTCTGTCCTTCATATTTTAGGCTTGACCAGGTTTAAAACATATTTCAGTGCTGATTTCAGTAACCATTTTATAGAAATGTTGAGAAAATAACTGTTTCGATTAGTTTCCCAAATGAACCAACATCTTGGCAGAGAAAATAAATGTAGTTACATGGCTTTTGGTATGTTCCCTTCTCCCTTGCTCAGCTTCAGAAGTAAAAATCATTTACTTGTCTTTCTAATTTATTTCTGCTAGATACGTCATCCCGTGTCACACCAAAGCTGCTCATTTTGATATAGACTGGGGTAAGGAAGATGATTCCAATCTCTTAATAGGCATCTATGAATATGGTTATGGCAGCTGGGAAATGATAAAAATGGATCCTGATCTCAGTTTGACACAGAAGGTATGTCATCTAAAACATTTCATCAAGGTCTCTTTTTGTTTAGGTTAAGAAGAGTTACTGAAAACGCTTATTTTATAACTGAAATTGCAGAGACAGTATACATCAGTTTTACTTCTTGTGATATTTTATCAGATTCTAAGGTCTTCTGTGTTTGGATGAAGTATACCTTCTTACAGTCAATTATGTTGCTATATTTCCATGTGGTTGGACCTTTGTCATTTGAATTTTCAATCTTTTCCATGTCAATTTTAGATGTTCTGGTTTTATATTCTCAAACCTTTTGAAAGGAGGTTTTTCTAGAGACTTGATTTCCCTATCCCCACCTTATGCCCAGGTTCTTCACTTGTTGTGAGGTAGAAGGCGGCTTCATGAGCATAGCTGTGAAAGAATTAGTTCAACAGCTCCTTAGCAGTAGCAAGCACCAGGTATCGGGGGAAAGACTGGGGTAAAGTAGACTTTGTGACAGTCATGACAACAACCTATAGCTTTGGGATTTGAGGAGCCAGTGTTGTGTCCCAGTTTCTTTGATAATGGTTTCTACTCCTGCCTTAACATTAATTTGCCTGTGTTTTGAAACGGCACAGTTATCTTTCTGGCATCTGCAAACACCCTGTAGTGACTTCTGCATATAGAAGCTGAATGAGGCAGAGCCACAAGTTGTTACTGACTGGTACAGGAGCTGAGAATTTCTTAGATAAACTATCAGAGTGGAAACAGAAAACTGAACCTGGCTTCTTGATTTTGTTTTAAACTGTGAGACAGTATCCAAGACTGCATTAGCTACATGATTGGAGAGGAATTAGAACATTTTAAAAATTCTCCATTGCTTCAAGTATGCTGGTATGTTTGCTAGGTGTAGGTAAAGTGGATTATTTTACACCTTCTTTGACGCAGCTTTTTCTGTTCTGTATGCTCCAGGCTAGCATCTTCCAAATTTGATAATAGATACTCATAGCTGTGACACTACTGTTGTTCTCCTCAGATTTTGCCTGATGATCCAGATAAGAAACCCCAGGCAAAGCAGCTACAGACTCGTGCAGACTACCTCATTAAATTACTGAATAAGGACCTTGCAAGGAAGGAGGCACAAAGGCTTGCTGGTGCAGTAAGTAAAATTCAGCATTCATTATCAAGATAAAACAGTATACTTGTCATGCTGGCATGTCAGCTGATCCATTTTAAGGTCTTATTCTTTGTGCAGTATTACTCTGTTGTTAGCCGTATTACGTGAGACTAACTCAAGAAATTAACTGTGAGAGTCCTATTGTATTGTTCTCTTATAGTTTGTATATGTTCTGTACTGTTGCACTGTGCTCTGTCTCCAGTCCTGAGAAAAGTGGTGGTTGTTAGTAGCAATAAAATAAAATGAACTCTCTATCTGATGTAAAAACACATCTTTTCTTTGCAACTGTGGTACAAAGATGCTTGTCAATTGACATGAATTAAAAGAGACCAATTTGCATTCAGGGCAATTCAAAGCGGAGGAAAGCAAGAACTAAGAAGAATAAGGTGATAAAGGCTGCAAAAATAAGAGAAGAAATTAAAAGTGATTCTTCACCACAGCTCTCAGAAAAATCTGATGAAGATGATGAGGAGGATAATAAGGTAAGTATCTTTCATGTAGTAAAGGTGGCTTTTCAGTTCTTCCTATTAGTATCAGTTTCTATTTTACCTTCTGCTTAACGTAATAAAACCGAAACACCTGGATGTCCTTTTCTTGCAGCCACCATAGTTGATGTTGCATTGATACAAGCACATGGAAGACTGTATTTATTTTCTTTTAATGATAAATCAGTAACAGGAATGACGAGTAGTGTTCCAAGTTACATTATGAAATTCTTGTGCTCTAATTACAGGTGGCATAGCTGAATTTCAGCATTCTTTAAAGACTTCAGCATTTTATCTGCTAGAAGGGGAAACCTAACGTAACACACAACTGTAAAACTAATGTTTCTGGCTAATACGTTACAGCTGCTCAGATGGTTGTTCAGATAAAGTTTTTTGTTCAGGCTCAGGAAGAAAACTTGGAGTTCTAATAGAATGAGTAGAATAAATAATACTTCAAAACTTGCATATGAAAGCTTCTCTAAACGTCATGGCTTTCATTATACCAAAAGACTATTTAACCTTGTCTTCTGTTGCTTCTATTGTATTGAGTCTTTTTATTTCTAACATTTATCACACAACAGAAACCACTAGAGTTAAAAATTCAGGTAAATTTTAGGGTCATGTCAAAGCTAATTTTATGACAACAGAAGAGTTTAAATAAACCAGTGCAAATCTATAGTATCATTAAAATACTTCCTACTTGGTTTAAAGTAAACTAAATTGAAATATCTTATATAACCATTTAAAACTATTTACAAGCCATTATAATTGTCAACTCGCTCTAGACGAAAAAATACGTGAGTACATAGTTAAAACTGAGTCAGCCCTAGTAAGAACCATGATACATCTATAAAAAATACTCATTTTTTAACTGAAGTGTTCCTGTATGTATTTAAACTGCACTATGAAGAATAAAATGTAAAGTCATTAAGAAAAAAAATCAAATGTACACTGGCTTATGTTTGCAGATAAAATACTTTGTCTGGAATGTATGACTGTAAGTGTTGTCACAATTCCCAGTAAATTAACATGGGTAACTAAATTCTAAAACTAAGCAAACTAAGTGTTCAGACTCCTTAAAAATTAGTGTTGGAGTTCATCTCCACTCAAAATATAAGACACTGCTAGTCAGTTGATGGACTTCTTAAGTTTTTGGAAAGTGCCTAGAGTGTTGTTGCCTTTTGTATATTTAATAACAGACACTCATCAAGTCACTTGATCAAGTCTTGCTTGGGATGATTACTTGATAACTCATCTGAGTAACTTGTTTGGATTAATGTATTAGGCATTATTTCATTGTTTTTTTCTGCAGTGGGTTCTGTAGTTACCTTTCCAGTCTGTATTCAGATAAATTCAAAGATTATAATGATTCTTGCACCTGCACTTGTTACTTACTGTCATATTTTTCTATGTCTGAAAGGATTTAAGTTTCCATCGCACATCTTCTAAGTGAATATTAAGAACAACAGTGGAATGGTATTTTGTTCACCTGCAAGTAATTAAATGGGCCCCTATCACACAATCTGTAACTAAGACTTTTTTTTTTTAAGCCTAGTGTAAAGGACATCTGTGGAGAGCAGAAAGCTGTGTCTCTGTTAGCTTCTCCTGTACATGTGTAGTATGGGATTGGTAAACAGCTACTGGGGCAAAACTAACTAGAACAGAGATCTTTTAACATCTCCATCATTTGAGTAACCTCAGTTTTGTGAGATTTACTTCCTTACAGTTTTCAGCTCTTCAGAGCCTAACTGCCTTTTAGAGGGACACAATACTAAGTTAATTCTCAGTTAAATGTACATAATTTCTCACCCCACTATGACTGTCAGATCAGTACTTTGTCACATCAAGGAAGTGAGTGTAAAGTTCTCATCTTTCATTGCAGCTACATTCAGTTCTACTTGAAAGGTGTTAGATCTATGTCCAAAAAGAAAAAAATGCAAAATAAAAAGTATGTTTTATGAAACTTGCATAGATAGGAACTTGGTTTGATGTGACATATATGCTTGCATATTGCAGGATAAGATTGTTTCACTGAAACATCCACATAAAAAAATAAAAGCAGAAAAAGAAAATGAAGAAAAGCCTGAGCCAGATACTGGTATAAAGAAGGAAGCTGAAGAAAAAAGAGAGAGAAAAGAAAAAGAAAACAAGAGGGATTTGAAAAGGGAGAAAAAAGAAAAAGAGGATAAGAAAGAATTAAAAGAAAAAGATACTAAAGAAAAGAGAGAAAACAAAGTAAAAGATTCCACACAGAAAGAAAAAGAAGTAAAGGAAGATAAGGTAACTAGGTTTACTTATCTTACATAGTACTAGAAAAGGCCACTAGGTTTACATGAATGATTTTGAGATTCAAAGGTATTTTGGATCTGATCAGTTGTCATTTCATTGAAGTCTTCTACATCATTTTAAGTTTTATTTTTACTACCTGAAGCCAGGAGGACAGGCATTTGAAATGGGTGATTATGTCTTCAGTGATATGTATCTTAGTTGGACTGAGAGTACAAGTGTGTGCAAGAAATTCTTGTATTGTTTTTTCCATTTTCCTTTTCCATCCAACAGACAAAGTAAAATGTACTGTCATTGAATGTCAGCATAGTTTTTATTGATACTATTGAAGAGAATGCAGTGGCTACAGGAGTTGTCATATACTGCAGGATAATTTCAGAGCCAAAATAAAGTTTACTGAAATATTTTTTTATATCTTGTTCTCAGATAAATGAAATCAAATCTGAAAATAAAGAAAAAACTAAAAAAATTCCTTTGTTGGATACTCCAGTTCATATTACTGCAACTAGTGAACCAGTTCCTATATCAGAAGAATCTGAAGAACTGGATCAGAAGACTTTTAGTGTGGTACGTCCCTTTTTGATAAGTTAGTGCTTATACTTGGTAATCTAAATTATGGCAGTTTCTGATGTTCTTTACTCTTTTGTTTGGCACAGTAACCCAGATGATCTTTTGCTAATGAAGTCTCAGATCAGTGAATGTTACTGACACTGTACTAATGTAATTTTTGTCTTCATTACAGCAGCTTTAGTTTGTTGTTTACTGTATTTATGCAAGATAGTAGGAAAACCCAGTGGTCTGAGTGCTGACGAGATTTAGAATATAGGCTGTAAGGATACATCCTCAGGAGTAACTTGAGTATCCTGCTTCTTAAATACCAAACATGAATGAACTTCAGTGCAACTGCTGGAGTCTCTGGCTTTAGCTTATCATATACACCTTTCTTCTTTGCAGGATAGTAAGATAAATAAAGTTTCATCACTTCCTCATGAACTGTTGCAGACTCAAATCAGTAGACACAGGAAGGAACAAATGCTAAAGCCTTCTAGAAATACCTTGCTGAAGTAATACCTCTGACACCACAAGAATTGCATTTAATCTCTACTGCTGACTAAGTACTGACTAATTACTTAGATTGCTACTAATCTCTACTTCTGACTAACAGAATCGATATTAGAGGAAAAAAAGCTACATACACACATTTTGTGTAAAGTTTTACAGGTCAGCTGGGACCTTTGTAAAGGTATCAATGAGTTTCTTTGAGCAGATACTTTCCTGTGGGTGTTCTGTCATTCATATTTCAACAGTTGGTTTCTGCCAGCCCGGCTTACTGGGACTGTTGTGGGTGGTGGCTGTGACAAGCAAGTAAGATTGTCTTCCAGTTAACACACTTGTTTCCAGGCAGAGCCTTGAGTGGTTGACGTGTGGCTGGGTGACAGAAAATCACCGGATTTCCACATGCATTAATATTTTTCTGGTGACTTCCATATTTAAGCAGTGCATTCTGCAAGATGTCTTTTAAAGGCTACTTTAAGCAATGGCTAATGCAAAATGTAATGCAGCTGCTTAATTACTTAGTGGTATGACCCAGCAGTGTGTCCTGGATCGGACACAATGGAACAGCTTCTCTCATCTTTCTGAGTTATCTGCAGATGCTTATATCTTAATGGTTATACTCTGTTTCATTCCAGACGTTTGTTTGTTTGTTTGTTTTTATTATTGTTTTTAATATACAGACATCTTTTTTTTTTTTCCTTACTGGGAGTAATTTTAGGTTGGGTCTGGGTATAGAAAAATGTTTTTTTCCCTGGGCTTTTTGTTCTGGAATGTATGGTTATTATTATGCCATGGTCAGATGCAGTCTAGTTAGCATATTTAACTACACTTTCAAATGGAGATTGCTACTGTGAATTGTTCAGGCTTAACTAATTTGTCTCTTTGTGACAAGGAGAATATGCATTTCATCTGTTTACCATGCTGTTATAGTTGGATAGCATTCCTAAGTGAGTGTCTGGAATTTAAATCGTGCTAATTGTTTTTATCTGGATTTATTATTAAAACGTTTTTCAAAGTGTGAAAAATTAAAGAATACATGCATGACCTGCATCTGTGCTGCCATCACTAAGCTAGGCATACACAAGCCAGCTTCACTCAAGATACCACAGCTTCTGCTAGTATCTGCGTGGGACTGAGGTTTTAAAAATACTCATAGAAGCAGTGCTGATCCTCTGCTAAATGCCAGGTTGCATTGTTGCAGAATGTTTTAAATGTACTGAACACATATTTAATTTTGACACTGAGTTTGTGTAGCTTTGAAGGTGCTGAAAAGTTTGTCTTGTCCTATATATATGCTTGTGCTGGAGGTTACAACTATTATTGTACAACCCAGTTGTAACGTGTCCACATCGTCAGAAAAGCTGTTGTATTGAATTAATGCTTTAAATCCGTAATATCTGTGTTTTATACAATCTAATGCGTTCATAGAGGAGTAAATTTCCAGCTAGGTTTAAACTGCCACTTTTTCTGAAGGAAACATTTTAAACATTTTCAAGAACTGTGAGCAAGTTTTGTATTTCATTTGGCTGGTAACAGCATTGGCTGTGTCTGTATATATATGTATCTCACAGTAAAGAGTGGGTGGTGTTTTAGAATTTTTTTCTTTCACTTAGTACATTTGCTTTTTCCATTTTACAAGTGCAAAGAAAGAATGAGGCCTGTCAAAGCAGCATTGAAACAGCTGGATCGACCAGAGAAGGGCCTTTCTGAAAGAGAGCAGCTGGAACATACTAGACAGTGTTTAATCAAAATTGGGGATCATATTACTGAATGTCTAAAGGAGTACACAAATCCTGAACAAATTAAACAATGGAGGAAGTAAGTTATTTTCTATGTTTCTTCTTGAAAATGGAAAATCTATCATTGCTTATGTGAAGCAGAATAGTTTTTGACTCTTTCATTTCTTGTTCTCCCTTTCTTGTATATTTCTGCTGTTTCAAATAGCAGACTGTAAGATGATTTTAGATGTTTCTGACCTTTAATGGATTAACTTTTTCATACTGTGTAGCAATGCATTTTGTCCAGTAGGTGGAGTAATCTCACGACTAAAAGCCAACACAAGATAACTTGTTTCTTAGACTGTAGTGGAAAAAAGCATTCTTACCTTTGAGGATCTGTTTTTTTCAGCTTGGAGGCTGGGGTTGTGTTTTTAAATTCCTGCCAAAAATAGGCAATTCTAAAATTGTGGTAAACTTTGTGTAATTTTGAGTTGCAGAATTCTACATTCTTTTAAAAATATACTCTTAAATTACACACTACATATTAACTGTGAATTGAGAAAAGTATTTGTCCTAATATATGCAGATGTATTTAAAAAATGAAAGAAGAATTTGTATCTTTGAGGTGACAATTTTAAAAAAAAAATACGTTAGTTTGTGAATGGTTTTCATTGTTAAGTTGCTAATGCAATTTGAGATACTTTAATCAGAATGTGCACTTGAGTCTTTTATGGTTGAAAATATATCCTACACATCCATGTAGAAAAGCCTGTTAAGTGTTTCATTTTTTTGAAGACTTCTGTTAGCAGAGAATGCTTCTGCTGCCTTTACTTGTTTTCCTTTAAAATATAAGGTGATATGACATCGAAGAACAAAAGATCCATGGTCTTACATTTTGGTGAATGTTATATTTCTCTAAGTGAAACTCTCTCATACTATCATGAAATAAGGCTTGTATGTCAAATGCCTTACACTGCATGAGAAGTCAAGTTTGGAAGAATTTTTACTTACTTTACTTCACTTAAATATTTATTTACTGAGTGGTAAATAATCAGAATTCAAACTTTCAGATACCTAAACTGATAGCTAGATTTTCAAGCAATTTCACAAATCATTCTATGAAATACAGTTGTGATTAGTACTACTTTCCATGCATTTTACTCTCTGAAATAATGTTAAATATTACAAAGTGACAAAGCGTTAAAGGAATTAATCTTTCAAATGTCTGAAATACAGCTAGGTAATACTGTGCAGCTAGACACTGCTTTGCAAAGTAGTGTCTAGCTGAGGCACTCTTAAGTAATTTCAGTTAAATCCATATTCTGTTGCATAATACAAGAAAAAGAAGTGTTTAGAAGAATTATAACTTCTCTTTTCTCCTTCCTCAGAAATTTGTGGATTTTTGTCTCTAAGTTTACAGAATTTGATGCCAGAAAGCTGCACAAACTGTATAAACATGCAATCAAAAAACGCCAAGAGTCTCAGGTAGTATTTTCAGACCCTTTCTAAATATGCAAATATTTAAGTATTATAACTCTTTTATTAGAGATAAAGGACTATAAGGAACACAGAAATACACTTCAAGCAGCATTTCTGTTTGTAGTAGACTCTTTTGTTCGGATATTTTTCTAATTAATTCAGATGAACTTTGGTATTTAGCAATGAGTTTTTCTGGTTGTGTCTTTTAGCAACACAATGACCAGAGTATTGGCAGCAATGTGAATACACATGTAATTAGAAATCCAGGTAAGAACCCTTAAGTATATTCTTATCTTAGCTTTCCCGTTCATTTCACTTCACATCTGGATTTGTCTCCCATTCTACTAAGTAGCATAGAGATAGGCTTGTTAACACAGCTTCACTAGTTTGCTGATAAATCCAGCAGAGTGCAGACTAACACTGGTACTTATTTGGTTTAGTAGCAAGTTAATTCACCGTCCTTGTTAAAACAAACAACTGTGAACTTTTTCTGTTCCACTTTGGGGATAGAGGTCTACTCAAAACCTGTGAATTTGTTGGAAATTCTGTGACTGTTTGTAGCTGTTGTAATGTCGCTACTGTGTACGGAAGCAAACTCCAGCTTAGTGTCATCAACGACCTGGATGAGGGTACA